ATTAAACTAAAATCCTTCATACCTTCAATCTTTTCTCCATTTATTAGGATGTCTATTGGTCTAGTTGTAAGGTTTCTGCTTGCTTATTTCATTTTAATCTACTCTGAAGTCTGGAGCTGTTGATCTTTACCCATAAGTGCTTACGTCTTCTTCATATATAGCCAGCAAGATTATAGCATCTGTATACATCACACTGATGGTGAGTCTTCCTCCAATGTTGATACCATATTCATTTTATAGAGTCCGGTGTCTTGGATTATTTATACAGATTGAATGAATATGGTGAAAGGATGCAATACTGGTTCACATCTTTCCTAATTTTAAACCACACAGTATACCTTTGCTCTATACAAATGGTAGCTTCTTGGACAATAGACAGGTTTCACATGAGCACAATTAAGTGTTCCAGAATTCCTATTCACCATAATGTTATCAATAATTTATTATGATCCACACAGCTGAACACCTCTGTACAATTAGTAAAGCACAAGTAAGCATCTCTCTGATCTTCTCTGCTTTCAGCCCAATTCATGTGACATCAGCAATGATATCCCTCATTCCACATCCTCTTTTGAATCTACATTGAATTTCTGGAAATCCTCTGCCCATGTTTCAGTTTTGCACACTGTACCAGCTTGCGTATTGCTGTGATGTTAGAAATTATGCCACCAGTATCTCAAAAACTAGTCACGGTAGACAGATTTCAGCTGAACTTTCCACACTAAGACAAACTAGGAAGGCTGATGACTTACTTCGAAAACTTCCTGAGTAATAGTAAAACCCAACGTGCTACATAGTTCCAGTAAATGAGTTTCTCCAGTTAGACAGCACTCCAGGAGGGGCTACCTCCTCTCAACAGCACAAAGAGAAGAGGAAAAACCAACTCAAAGAGATTATCTAAAAATGAAATTGTTACGTATGTCAAAGGACTCCTGCAAAAGAGTGAAGAGAACCTACGGAGCAGAACATTTGGCAATGACGTACCAGACAAGAGATCTGTCTCTTAAATTTATACAAAGCGTCAATATCTAAACAACAAAAATTAATCCAACTGAAAATCAGTACACAAACCCTAAGAGGATATTCAAGAGGCTCAAAAACACGAGGAAATGCTCTTTTTTGTTAGCTCTCATTTGTATATGTCAGCAGGTTGATTACAACTTAGCAATTCTACAAATAATGGCTCTCAACCTCACCCTGTCTTAAGCCAACCTCACCATCTCCAACACACCTGATGTCACTGCCACAGTCACAGTGTCAATCTATCTCGTCCACTGACATTCTATCCTTCCAAGGATGTCCTTCTCCAAGGACTGGCCACTCCTGACCTGACAACATGTCCAAAACATGTGAGATGCACTTTTAAAATCTATGCCTCCAAAGAGCAACCTGGTTTCACCCTCTCTAGGACAGTCCTGTTTATTCTCTTAGAAGTTCATGGTATGTTCAATACTCTTCTGCCACTGCTCAAAGGCATTCATCAGTCAAGCTCTCAGATGCATACAAAGCAAATGAGAAAGCCATGGCCTGGATCAGTCACTCCTTAGTCTCTAGACTGACACCGTTGCTCTTTAGCACTCTGTGGAGGTCCCTAACTTATTTTCTCAATGCAACTTGTCTTTTGATTTCCTGACGGATGGGGTCACGGGTACTGACTGTAGATCCAGGCAAGATGAAATTGTTAACACCTTCAATCTTTTCTCCATCGATCACGACTATGCCTACCGGCCCAATAGTGAGGATCTTTGTTTTCTTGATGTTGACATACTGCCCACATTGAAGGCTGCAGTCCCTGATATTCCACAATAAAGGCTTCCAGTCCTCCCCAGGTTTGGTGAACAAGGCTGTGTTACCTGCATAACACAAGCTGTTGATGAATCTTCTTCCAATACTGATACCATTCTTCTTCATCAAGGTAGGTCTCAAATGATCTATTCAGCACACAGATTGAAAAGGTATGGAGAAAGGATATACATCCTTGACACACTCTTTTCTTGATTTTGAACCATTCAGTGTTCCCTGGCTTTGTTTGAACTAGAGTGATGAAAATCCAAACAATGATGGGATGATATCTCCCCCACCAAGAGTAGCAATGCTCAACAAGAGAGAATACAACAAATGCTGGTGAGAATGTGGCTAGACAAGCACTTTCCTGTACTGCTGATTTGACTGTAAAATCCTATAATCATTGTGGAAAATGGCATAGAATCGCCTTAAAAATGAAGAAACTGAAATACCACTTGATCTGGCAATCCCACTGTTAGTTATATACCCAATAAAATGAGGACTGGGCACAAACAGATACATGCACACTAAGTGAGTGTCCCTGTGTTGTTGTTGTTGTTGCTGTCATTAGCTGTTGAGTCACCTGCAGTTCACAGAGACCAAAAGTACAACTCTGCAGCCTGTCCTAGCCTGAGTCAGTCTCACTGAATCGGACACATCTACCCTCATTATCCCAGTTACTGTATCATTCCATCTCATCCAGGGTCTTCCTCTCCTGTGCTGTCCCTCTACCCTTCCAAGCATGATGTCCTTTCCTTCTCCAAGGACTGGTCTCTCCTGGCCATGGGCCCAAAGTATGTGAGACTGAGCTTCAAAATCCTAGCCTCCAAAGAGAAACTTGGTTTCACCCTCTCCAAGACAGACTTAACTATTTTCTTGGTGGTCCATGGTATGTTCAAAACTCTTCTCTAGCACCACAACTCGAAAACATCGATTTTTCTCTGCCATCCTTAAGTCACTGTCCAGCTCTCTGTCCAGTAAGTAAATGCAAAGACCATGGCCTGGATTTGGTGTGTCTTAGTCTCTAGACTGACATCGTTGCTTGTCAACGCTCTGGAGAGGTCCCTGATAGCAGATTTTCCCAATGAAATTCGTCTTTCGATTTCCTGACTGCTTGTGTCAAGTGTTGACTGTGGAGCCGGACAAGGTTTAATTGTTAACAGCCTCAATCTCTTCTCCATCTATCATGGTGCTGCCAATTGGCTCAGTGGTGAGAATCTTTGTTTCCTTGATGCTGAGCTTCAATCCATATTTACGGCCGTAGTCCTTGACCTCCGTAGCAAGTGCTTCATGTGCTCCTCAGTTTCAACATGCAAGGTTATGTCATCTGCAGAACGTAAATTGTTGATGAGTCTTCCTTCAATCCTGATGCCACTTTCCTCCTCATAAAGCCCAGAATGATCTGTTCTGCATACACACTGAAAAGGTATGGAGACAGGAAGAAGCATCCCTGAAGCACACCTTTCCTGATTTTGAACTATGCACTGTTTCATTGCTCTGTTCTAAGAACTGCTTCCTGGCCCAAGTATAGGCTTCAAATGAGCACCATCAAATGTTCTGGGATTCCCATTCTCCTCAAGGTCAGCCACAATTTGTTGTGATCTGTAGAGTCAAATGCCTTTGAAAAAAGGTCCATGTGTGGACACTCATACACACACACACACACACACACACACACACACACACACACATACATATATACATATATATACACATACACACCAAGAAGCTCTGGCGGCTTGCTCATAAAGAGTAGTGCTACCAAATCAAAGGAACATGATTCCTCTGTATTTGTATATGCTGCAAATATATCCACACAGATAATAAGTCAACTAGGGGCAGTATTAAGCAAACCTCCAAAAACCAAAAGAATATGAGTATGACTGCAAGGTTGATTACTATCTTTACTATCAATGACCTGTACAGCAGCTCTGGTATCATAGTTCATAGAGATCTGTGCTTTCGGCCCAAAGGAAGTACCTCTTTGACCGTTTGAATCCATCAGTGGCTTCTCAGGAGAAAGATGTGCAGTTTCCTCCCAGGTGATTTACAGCCTCACACAAGTCCCACTGTAAGGTCAGCAGTGATTTGGTTCCAACCCCACGGCAATGAGTGAGTGACCAATAAGCCACACATATGTAAGCTCAATCAGCAAAAGGTGTGTATACATTTACAACAAAGGAGAAAAAAAGCCGAACTGCTTCTGCATAACCAACCATCTCATGGGACTTCTGCTCCTCGGCTTAGAGGTTTCGAGTCCTCATGTACGGAACATCCCAGTTAACTGGACAATCATGTGCTCAGTATGTCTGCTTGGCCTCCTAGGTCACCCTGTAACGCCTGGCATTTCAAAGCGTGAGGGGTCATCCAAGGCACAATAACTGGTCTCTAGCTGGAGCATCAGAGGGAAGAAGAGTCAGAAATAAGGAGGAAATAGAAAGAGTGGCTAACTGCCTCCATGAACGACTGCCTCCTTTGAGACAAGAGGAACAATATGGCGTCCAGCTACCATAACAGAGTTTCTGCACCAAAGATGCCGTAGAAGAATCCTGACCAAAACCGGAGAAACGCAGAAGAGAATTTCAAATTTTCTGAATTCAATTTCTGAAGCCACGGAAGCAGAATGAACTTCTGAAATAAGTCCCCTGGAATAATCTTTAAAACCAAACAACAGTTTAGCTCACCTAGTAAAAAGTCTGCCTTGAGCATCTGGCTCTTTTAAGAACTATCTCTTTGGAATCAAAGAGACAACAGTGACTCAGTTAATTAGAGAGGAATCTAAAGAAGCAGTAAGTCAAGCTGCACTGCAATCTCTGAGGTGTGTGGTTCAAATCCACCAGATGCTCTGCTGGAGGAGGGGCAGTCTCCTCCTGTACCAGTCAGATCTGATTTGATGATACATGCACAAAGAAATAATAAAATAAAATAATTTAAGAAAAAGAAGCAGCAGTGAGTCTATGTTAATGACAGAGGAACAACTTGGAAAAGGAAAGCGGTGATGGTTGCAGAACTCAATGCTAGTGGATGGCACTGCACTGTATACGGTGAAACCGGTGACTTGAACATTGGCCGTGTACAATCTCAACAACAACAGTAAATTACATGAGTTTTACAGAGCAAAGAGAGAACCCCAAAGGATACTACACACCCAACCAAGAATCTATTCCCCCACTTATCGAATAGAAAATTCTTCCCAAACCAAGGTGTTTTCTCACCTAACAAGGGATGTTCAGCACTTAAGTCTTCTCTCCCGACGGTGATAGCCGCTGGGGACAAGGTAGGTGGCGGCGGGGTTCTGTCCATCCTGACACACTCATCTGCTTCTTCAGGCATTTCTTCTTCACACACATCTTCTACTTGATAAACCTGCAAAGACAAACCACACTGCCTTCAAATGCTTCCAAAAGTACATCTAATAAAGCGTTCAAATCTTAAAACATAAACTCCAATTATTTTAACTTTTTTTTTAATTTAAAAAAGTAAAAATATCTATTCTGACAAGTAGACAGGAAAACTTTGAAACTGGTTAAATGAAGTTGTTTATAGTACCTATGAATGAGTCTCTAGAATTAAAAAAAAATCACAAAGGTCATGTCAAGACATACTTTTATTTAACTTTTAACATGATTTATGTGAAAGTTTAGAGAGCAGACTGGCATTCCACTGAATTAGCCACATGCATTCTGATTTACGACATTGATTATAATACCCATATTTTAACAGCACATTTCCCACTTCCTGTCATTTCAATTCATCCTTCTGTCCTCTCCCTTCTCCAGTCCTGAGGTACCATAACCTCATAACTCATTCCCTTAGCGTGTCTAGTTATGGTGAAGAAAATTCCAGAACTTTGTCCCTTTCTGCCTGTTACGTGGGTGGATGTACTTACATATTTGCAGTACATAAAATGAACGTACAGCTGGATGACTATAGGAATGCTGAGTGAAATAAGTTGGTCCCGAAAAGACAAAAAAGTAAGACCACTACTACAAAAAAGTAAAGAAAGGTTTATAAGCAGAGAGTCATACTTGGATGACTACCAGGGATGACAAAGGAGGAGGAGGAAGTGAACATTCATAAAGAGATAATCAACATATATTAAGGTGGGTGAAGGGAAAGGCAATCTGTAACAACAAGTGGATGATCAAACACTACAGGCACTGTTGAATAATGTTAAAACACAAAATGTGCATGAATGATTAAACAAAAAATCCAATAGGCTTCATAAGCCTTTATTCAAATTACAATTAAAAATGTTGTGTAAAAATACGTACATGTAGATGTACTGTCTGCCAAACCTATGGCTGCTTTTCAGTGTAGCTCCTCTCTCTCACGCACTCTCATCTGTTCCTGTACCTGTCTGTGGTCCACCCACAGCCTAACGCGGGCTATGCCTGCTACTGGAGGACTGATTAGAAATGTAATCATATTCTTGGCCTCCGTAGTCCATACACACTTGTGCACCTCTCCACGTCTTCCTTTTCTTTAGTGATATTACACTGGTCACTCCTTATTTTAGACAGTCTTTCCTGGAACTAATTTTCATTTAAAAAATTAAATTTTTCTTTTATATTAAGATAACTGTTTTGAGAATTTTATTATTGTTTTGGCTACTTTTGATGGTCATAAATAAAAATAAACACCAATATTTTTCACACGGACATTAAGTAAATCTTCAAACTAAAACACAATTTACTGGGAAATATACTGTCTTGAGGATTAAACCTCTATGTTCTTAATTTTTATTATAAAGAAGAACCAAAAATGAAATTATGAAAAGTAATGTCTGAATGTGTCATAGCCTTTCCCACCCGCCATTCTATGAAGGTTGCAGTGATGTAAGATACACTAGTATCAGGTAAAGGAAATAATCTGTCCTTGAAGTACTATCTACATACATGTACACATACAAATACTCTAAGCCATTTGGCACATTACTACTCAGTTCTTTACTATTTTCTTGCATTTGTGAAAGAATGTTTCCAAGTCTTTAACATAAGAACATTCTCAGAGTCAGAACAGACTTGCATGGTTTTCTGAGGCTGTAAATTGCACAGGAGGAAACGGCCCATCTTTCTCCTGAGGAGTGCTGGTGGGGGAGCAGCTGCTGGGTTCAAAGTGCTAGGGGGCTGTGTCTCAGTGGGGGGTGCTCTGGAGGGGTGGTCTCTGGAGGGGTGGGCCTCTGGAGGGATGGGCCTCTGGAGGGGTGGGCCTCTGGACGGGCAGCACAACTCCATAGCTGTGGTAGTTTGACTAAGGACCAAGGCTCCTTAACTACTTTGTTACCCTCACTAGCTGCTTAACCCATTATAGAGTATCCTTAGAATTAAAACCACTGAGAAAGAGTTACATAATTAAAAATAACTAAGTTACTACTGGGCTCTGGTGGCCTACTAGAAGAAACTGCACTGCAATATCAAAGGCACACAGTTTGAATCCACCAGCTGCAATCTCTTTCTGTGCAGTTTCCTGCCTCTGAAAACCCCACTGGTGGGTCAGCGATAGTTCAGTTCCAACTCAATGGCACAAAACAACAACCTTATCACCAGTGTTTCATTACATTATTTAAGGACTAGTTTTAAAGTGTACTTCTGGAGAGGGTAGAAATGTATTATCATCTTTGTTATTCGAGTTTGCAAAAAGACTTTGAGTTTTCAAAATTAAAAATACATCCTACTACTTAGGAGAGATTTTAGGTGACTGAAAATTAAGTCACAAATCAGTTCACATTCCTTCTTTTATATACCAATCTTACTACTTAAATTAATATTTTTAAGACTACTTGACTAAATTGATTGTTTCCTATAAATGTTAACAAGAAACCTTTAAATAAGTCATAAAAATATTTCGTTTTCCTAATACTGGTTGCATTTCTGGTAAGGTTATTGAAAGGTTTGATTATTTGAAATACATAAAATTATATCTAAGTGATCAAGCTTTCAGAAAATAGCATATAGAAAATGCTATAACAGTGACTAAAAAATGTCATCTACAAAAGTATTGTTTATAAATCAGTTTAAAAAAATCAAATAATATTTTCAATTCTCTAGTAAGAATAAAACAATGGGGGTTTTTTTCTTTTCATGAAAAATATGCAAAACTGTGATCTGAAACAGGTATTACATAAGCAGTCTTTTTTTCAGTGTTATGTGTTTATAATCTCCTAAACCTAGGAACCTGATTGACCAGAAGAGGTCCCTTTGTCTCACGTCTGTCTGGATCCCTAGAAATGAAGCCAATATTTAGGATATAGTAAAACTTACAGCTGCAAGTGCCTATTCATAATAATATTCACTCCAACAGGAAAGTGGGCCCTAGAAGAAGTGTCGGGGGGGGGGGGGTGGTTAAAAACCTAATGACAAACATCTTTCATGGTCATTCACTGGGCTGCCATCAAGTCATTTCCCACTTTGAACCCCTGACCTCACAATCCAGGCCTGACACACTGCACACCAAGTAAGCCGGAAGGGCTGCTCTGTTGTGGTGCTGTTAGGGGCCATCGTGTCAGAAACACCTCGTGGCTGACCTTCCAGCGGTTTCCCAAGGTCTGTAAAGTGCACAGGAGATGACTGTTCATCTCTCTTCGACAGAACAGCTGGTGGGTTTGAACTACCTGCCTTGGGGTCGGCAGCACAACTTCTTACTCACCAGGCCTCCACAGTTCCCTATACTGTGGTGATGCATTACGTATAATTACTTTTATTTTTTCCAGAGGGAGGGGAATTCTGGCTTAGATGTTAAGAGATAAGTACGGGCTTACCAACTAAGTCTATCATATCCATGCAGCACTCCTTTATTAGATATTCTTTTTCTTTCAAAAATTATTATTAAAATGGTCTTTGTGCTCGCAGAGGTGGACTTGAGAAAAGCATCAACATGCCCCCCCTTTTTTCCCCCCATGGAGGATGAGAAGAAAAAGCATAAAAAGAAACAGCTAGTTCAGAGCCCAAATTCTTATTTTATGGATGTAAAATGTCCAGGTTGCTACAAGATGACCAGTTTTCAGCCATGCTCAGACAGTGGTTCTTTGTGTAGGTTGTTCAACAGTGTTTTGTCAGCCCACATGGGGAAAAGCCAGACTCACAGAAGGTTGTTCATTCAGAAAAAAACAACACTAATGCTCTCTATGACTTCCTGAGTTTCTCTTCAGTCACAGAAAGCCTTACCAATCAGTAATTCTGGTTAATCCATCATGATAATATTAATAACATTTCAGTTTTTGGTAAAGTATGTGGCACTTCTTTTGGTGAAGTTTTTTCAATAAAGTTTTGATTATGGGCAGAAAAAAAACTATTATTAAAATGCTAGAACTCTTTAATCTTAATGCTGCCACATGTTACTCAAACATCTGCTACAGGATCTTTTTAAGGATTCATTCAGAGTTTGATCATCCACAGAGATCTGACTTTTTAAAAAAAATCATGAAAAGCATATTGAAGAATGGAAGGAGCCGTAACACAAATGGTGCATCTTAAAATAGTCACTTAAAAATGGGTAAAATACTCATCATTCTCTTGGTAATTAAGCCTAACTACATATACTTTCTTCCAATTTCCCAAGTAAAGGCAAAATGAGTTCATGAATAAAAGAAACAGGAAAATCTGCTGCAGACATCTGGCACCATCAGCATAAAAAAGGCTCTAAAGTACAAAATAAAGAGGAAAAAAACATGAAGGTTTTGCTCATGAGATCCATTTCTGTTCTGCTCATAACTACAACTATTCTAAAGATAGCAAAGACTGCCAAACGTGCCTCAACAAAATATACTGTTTTCCCATCTGTCTCTTTGAAAATGCACTGAAGAACATTTGTTTATTAGTTCCAAATTATCTGCTTCATCACATCTCATTTACCATACCCAAATGTCAAAGAAAAGGCAACGTTACGTTTTGAAACAGCATACCTCTTAACTTCATAAAATAAGAATATAGCAATTTAATAAAGAGAGCTAGAGAACTTAAAGAAATTTAAAAGACAGCATGAGAACATCTATCGCAAGCATAAACATTATACTAACAGCAAAGAACATTACTATTATTTTCATGTTGTAAAAAAAAAACCTTCCAAAATAACACTTTTTTTATTATTATTTAAAAGGTAGAGAGAGGCAATAAAAGTGTACCTTAAATATTGCTAACTTTCAATTAATTGGTTTTTAAAGTACTATTATATTTATAGTTCTATTCCACATATCTCCCTCCAAAGTTACCCTATTAAAGGAAAGCAGAAAAATATAGGAGTAAAAGTAAATTTTACTTTTAACTTGAACTACAAAGTGAGAAAATTAAATTCTATTTTATTTCACTGAAGGTTAAGATATGCCATTTTTTTACATTATAATATTCTTTGTCAATTGTTCAAAAGCCCATTAAAAGAAAATACAGTGACATGTTAACAAAATGACAAACATTTCTAGAGCTTCACTCTTGATTCAGTCAAATAATCTTTTTAAAAAAATGAAATGGGAAGTGGAACTAAATGAGAATTAGAATGTTTCCCATTAAGAAACAGACTTTGAAATATTTCTCTGTGTAACGGTTGTTACGTCTTTAATGATTAATCTCTTTAAGGATATTTAATGGAATACCTCCCTTTGAGAAGATTCTTCAGTTAGAATTTATTAATTTCCTTTTTCTAGGTAAACATTCACATACTTTATTTCCATTTTTACTGTAATTATTTTAGACATGAAGTCTTCCTGGGAATGTTTAAAGTAAAAACTTCTCAACATAATTTTCTTTCTAGGCAAAACGGTTCTAGTGGCTTATTCTGATATATTTCCCTACAGTCTCAATTATTCAAAATGTTTACTCCTCCCAATACATTTTTCAGCCTCAGTATTAAAGGCAGCCTTGGAATTTTTAGGTTTTTAAAGGAAAAATATTTTAAGTATGGATTTTCTCTTCTAAAAGAAAGTTTAGTAATTCTATAAAATGGTCTAGTTAATGTTTCTTTGCTAAGCTGCACTCTTTCCTATAATACTTGCTATAAAATTTTACTTTCTAAATATAGTAGTATCTAAAATCATATGATCACATTTCCACTTTGAAACAGATGCCCCAAAGGCCTAGATTTTCAGAATACATACAACTAAAAAGTTAGCTAGAGAAACTGTAAGTTTAACATACAAGCCAACAGAAGGGATCTATGAAGGATAATCACCTTAAGAGAAAAAACTTTGTGTAGATGACACTGGTTCAAATGCATTCCCTTGGGGAAAAAAAATCAACTCTGTAAAGATAGCAGATGGATTTGTTTAAATAGTAATAAAATTAACGAGGGACTTTAATAACCATCAAACCACAAATTATTAAGCATGCAACCATACTACCACAAACAATGGCTTTCTTTTCCTCCCGTATAGCATGTTTGTCAGACACTGACATGTGGCGATTCCAAGCTTTTTAAAGCCACAGGCATTTAGATCTAGCGATGTAACACAGCGTAGACAACAGGAAGTTTTCCTTTTGGTTCACAAGAAAGTCAAAGAGCTTCCAAGGGCTTACCACTGGTGGGTCAACAGGTGCTGGTGGCTGGACTTGCAGGTTTACCGCAACAGTCTGTGGAGGAGGGAGAGTCTGAAATGGCAACTGGACCAAAGCTTCTGCAGCTGGAAGCTCCTCTTCTGACACCAAGGCATTCTGCACCAAAACCTGGCCCTGGGACAGAATTTCAGGCTGCACTTGTAAAGATTGCATAGACTGCAAGGGTAGTGGTGGAACTGGAGGAGATGTTGACATCTGTGGAGGGGTTGCAATTGGGATTGGAGAGGACTGCAGGGCTGAGTATTGCTGGTGTGATGTCGGAGACACAATCTGCTGGCCTGGGGACACCAGGGCCGACTGCTGAACTGGGCCAATGTGCACAACAGGGGACGTTGGAAGGGGAAGATGGGAGGGAAGACTGAGCTGCGCTGTCGCTTGCACTGGATTGGCCGCGGACTGCTGCAAGCTTGGCCCCGGCTGGAGAGCTGAGGACACAAGAGGATGTGGCTGAATAAGTGCTTGTGGGTGGATTATTATAGTCGGAGACTGACTCGGGGAGTGAGGTGGTGGAGGTGACACGACGACGGACTGCTGTGCGGACTGTGACGGGCTGGGGGACACGGGTAAAGCAGGAGGGTGGCTGTGGATAGGCGAGCAATGCTGGGACTGGGCATTACTGGGCGCTGGAGGGAGGCTGTGGTTCTGGAGAGGCAGACAGTGCTGGGAGGGGGGTGGGTCTTGAGCTGGATTCTGAAGGGTGATTGGTTGAAGTTGCTGTTGCTGCTGCTGTAATATCAATTGATGGTGGGAAACCTTGGGAGGTGGTGAATGAAGAGGAATTTGTTGATGTTTTATTAGAGAATGAGGTTGAATTGGAGAATATGAAGCTGTGAGGGAAAAAAATGAAAATTAGTATTTATTTTTTAAAAATCACACATTTTAAAATAAAACTAAAGGGGGAAAGTTTTCACATCAAAAGTTTATCATCATCAGAACTCTATTACAAGTCTTTCAGACAAGAGTGATTTGAAAATTTAGTGGCAAACAACTCCCTGGAAAACTAAAAAGATTTTGTAAATTATGCAGTATTGTGATGAGGTCCAAAAGTAAAATGAAGCATCTTATTGACAAATCTGAATCAATGACACAATTTATTCTTATTAAACTTTATAAGTCTCTAGAAAATCTGCATTAACCTGTATTAATGTTTATTCATTTGAATTGTTTCTTGAGGTGGAAAAAGGAAGAATATTACTGAATAAAGGTTGTTGCTGTTGTTGTTGTGTGCCATTGAGTTGAATCCAACTCATAGCTCAGGACTGCAGCACTGTTTCTTACCACTAGGCCACTAGAGCTCCCAGAGTTCAGCAAAGCTCTAATGATGTGTGTGTGTGTGTGTAACTTCAAAATCCTCAAACTGCAATACTAAAGCTCATAAACTTAACTTTATATTACATTTTCAAATACATATGTATTTGCAACCAGTAAGCAAGGTAATAACTTATAAGCTTTCCAAGTAAATCCTCAGCTTCAGATATCTAAGCGATGTCTTTATTCTCTTCATAAAACGCTGCTCACAGCAGGGAAAACACACAGAAGATTAGAAAGCTCCGGCTATCCCCTTCATCACGCCTCTTCTGCACAGCGGTGCAGATGTTAACTCTAGAGGGAAATGCTGGGGAAATCCTTATCTAAATAAGGAGGAGCTGGGGTCACGAGAAGATAAACTGAAATCACAGTCTAATATTAAAATACACATCTGAATATCATGCAAACATTTCACACATTTAAAACAGATTTAAAGAAAAACTTTCCCCCCCTTGAATGTTAAGACAGACATTCTAACACTCTGCATCTATTTTTATATTCAATCACATTTTTTTACAACAGCCTAGCAAACATTTCCAACACACCTTTTTTAACGATTTTGCATTTGCATGGTCTTATTTAAAATTTCTGGTATCCTTTCAAGAAATTAACATCTGATTAACATCTCGAGAAAAAGGCATTTCAAAGGTCTGACAAATACACAATTAATTGTAAATAAAAAACACCAGAAATTAGATTTAAAAATCTAATAACTTTTCATATGTTAACAAGATTAGAACCAAAGTAAAACTGAAAACTTTATGCCAACACTTCTTAAATGTGTTGATAGATAGTTAGGGAAATCTTGCAATTCTACAAAGCATCTTCCATCAGGGAGTTCAAGGTCCTTTGGTATCCCTCCATTCTGTCCTTACAAAATGCCTACTGAGTAGGTCAATCATTCCCCTTTTACAGAAAAGGGAACTGTTAACTGTACAAGCATCGTAGGAAAGGCCTATTTTAACTCAACTTTTTAAACTTACAACTGAAATGTACCATTATTCTTGAAGTACAAAAGAATTAACAGTCCCTAGAATAACAATTCTTTTTATTCTCTAGCAAGTAAGCAATAACTTTACATAATTAGTAGAGTAAGTTTCTCCTTTCTCCTAAGTGAAATTTTTTTCTTGTATCAGAAATCAGCTCACCCGTAGAAATAACAGAGACCTGTGAGGTGTATGAAAAACCCTTCTGCAGAAGAAAAGCCAGAGCACTGAAGGTGCATGTCTATTATTTTTTCTCATTTTCATAAATACTTCAAGATCTTCTGTTTGAAGAATAATAAGCATCATCTTCACATAGGTGTAACTTGTTTTAAACAATATATATTATTTGGGGGAAAAAAAGTATTCTTTTTCTCACAACCTATGATGTGCACCAGATACTACACTAGTCCAATATATTGTAGTTGATTGCCTTCGAGTCGAGCTTGACTCATAGCCACCCTATGAACAAAAGGCCTGAAGCCCCTCTACAACCATCAACATTCATCAACGTTCATAGAGTTTCGAAAGGCAAGCTGTTTAGGAAGTGGATACCATTCCTACTTCCAATATATCAGAGGTGAAAAAAACCTGATAGATAGATAGATAGATAGATAGACAGACAGTCAGTCAAGTGGTTTTCCTGAAACCAACTGGTTATCAAAAGGAAGAACTGAGTTGTAAAGAACCAGTGATTCTAAGTCTTTTTCACCCTATAGTGAATTAATGTCTACAAAAATAGTATATATGTTTTTCCAATTAGACTAATGACATAAATGAGCTAAAAACTGCTGTTATAATTTTTTTTTAAAAAAAAATAACTTCAGTACCGATATAAGTCATAATCATTGCCAAATTTTTGGCTAAAGTTTTATTTGTTGTTTTAAAAGCAGAATTAATAACTATCAAATGGGAACTCCACCTTCCAGGTGAAATGACTTAGGCAGGCAGCTTAATGCTTTCAAGGCCTCTAGAAGATATAAGGGAAAGAAAATCATTACATAGTTGACTCCCCAAAAAAAGACAAGTATGAAGCACTTATATCCACTTATCGTTGGAGTAGTTTTTCCTTTGAGATTGTCTTGAGTTCAAGCATCTCTGTGTCCTTCCCTTAAGGCACCATGTGATGCTTTTATCACCATGTAAGCAGTTTCTCTCCAGTAAATTGTGTATCACCAATTTTCATTGGGAACCTGGGATAATTCCTAATCCCAGAAATATTCAAGGGCGAGTGAGCTGTAACTATTAGGCTATACTGCCTTAGAAAACAAGTAGAATTCTTTTTATATTTTAAGATGATCTATAGGAACAGGTATTTTCTTAAGTGGAAAAAATGGCAAATTACTAATTCTATAATCTCTTACAAAAAAAAAAATCTAACATCTGATTGCCTTCCAGTGAGGAAGGAACAATTAAAAGGGTGAAAAAGACAGTTCTCGCCTTATCTGAAGTAAGATACAAACTGCTCTGAACAACTATTTTCCAAGTCTTAAATGTTTAAGTTTAGTAGCTGCAAAAGTTTATGGAGTTTAGGATGTTCTCTTTGGTTTTATTTCTAGAACCCCCCCAAAATGGACTATGGAACTGCATTGTTCCCAATGCCCAAAACTCTTGGCTAACCGGTTTCCCCCACATCTACAAAGAATACTGGTCATCAGAGCTAGGTAAACTCTAAGGCTAATATCACCCTCTTAAACAAAAAGGAGAACCAGGTATTAAAAGTTCAGGGAGACTGTAAATCTGAAAGCAGCCCTCTAGGTTTGAGATTACCCCGACAGAGTTTGTAGCCTCCTCTAAGTTAGCACTGTCTGGGAAGAAATGAACCTACCCCTCACGATAATCTACCCAAACTACAGACATCACTGAAAACTGTCTCCTGAGATGTCAATCCAAGAACTCGTGATGCTCCACACTGAGTCCAGCGAGACAGAGTCAGAGACTGAGAAGACTCTCAACAGTAAAGGACAAAAGGCCCAGTCCTTCAGTTATAGAAAGAGGAACCTGACACACAGATGTTAACACAAAGAATCCGAGCCTAAATATACGTGAGTATATTTACTAACGTATGCATCGTAACAGAACCTATACTCATCTAGAATTCAGATTTGACAACTAATGAGAAAAACTGTGCTGTAATTTCTAAAATCCAATTGGAAAAAAATAACCTTTAACTATTAATACAAGAACTATTTATTCACACCTATTGTACGTAAGTCGATATAAGGTATGAGTAAGTGTTATCAGGATGCAACGACAAGAAGCTAACTCGGGAGAAGAGCTAAAGTAGGGCCCTTTTTACAGTACTACTACACCTGCAAGGAGCTTATTCCTTAGGAGTTAGACTGAATAAGTATAAAAGGAATACAAAAGAAGAAAAAATACCACAAGGGAGCACAAAAATGTTGGAGAAATTCAGAATAAGAGATTCTAACAAAGGGAATCAGACAATCCTATGATTTCTACACTGGGTAATACGAAGACTGTTGGTAATATCAGCACACAGAGGAAACATGGAAAGAGAAAACAGAGTCAGGTGGAGATAAGCCGACATCAGCAATGTAAAAGAAATCTTTTAAAGGTAGAGCAGCATTTATAAAAAGACAGAAAGAAGATGCTTCCTTAATGATGCTGTTGGCTCAAGGAGGATTTATTTTAATATACATGAGGTGACAAACACATATAAACTTGTCCACTACATCACAGAGACACACAAATGCTTGGTAACAAAACGGTCTACTGGTATAAAAATATATACAGATAGTGAAGAACAGAGGAGGCCTTTGTGCGCTTGAATGAAAAGGAAAGGATCCAGCTCGAGAAAGACAAAAGGTGCTACATGGAAAAGTGCTACTGTCAAGAGCAAGTAAAAGATGTAATAAATGATACAAAAAGGAGGAGGAAAGACGGTGCTGATATTAAAGAAGAAAAGAGATCATTCTTGATTTTAGTAAGGAAAACTCTTAACCCTCAACTCAATTGTTCAACTATGAACAGACAAGACCACAAAGCAGCTCATGGATGACTCCAGTATTTCCAGTTTGAGAACCAGGAGTCAAGGTTCGCTGTAGACTCTGAAAGTGAGCACAGGTGGGATTCAAAGCTTACCAAGAATGAAAAGTTTCAGATTCATTCCCTGACATCTTACTTTTAGAAGTACATACGGAGATAAGGGAAGGTGGGGAGGGAGCTGCAATCCTGTTAAGAATACTAATTATGCATAATCTTTATTTTTCAAGCGACAAGTTCCTCCCACTGATGAGAAATAACATACTAGCTTTTTAACAAGCTTTTCATTTCATTCCACTAAAACTACAGGCAAAAATCTTTTATACCAGGTAAAATGATTCACTGATACAATGATCAGGTGCAGTAGCATTTACAAATGTGAGACCAGCACATTAGTGAAGATGTTAATCAAATGTCAATTTCCAAAAACGTCTACTTTATTGTTATAATCTGCTTTAGCTTTTGGTTTGTTTGGGGTGGTTGTTTTTTAAATTATTTTTTTTCAAATGACAATATTGGAATATTCCTTCTTTTTAATTTATCTAATTCACATTTTGAACTGTTTTAAAAGTATTGTTCAAGTAACAGACATCCTTTGTTTTTCTCTCCATGCTAACAATGCAACCATCTTCAATAAAACTTTTCTCCCACCTGGTGCTATTAACTGGTGAATACTCGATGTTCGGGTGACAGCTGTGCTTCGTGACTCCAGACTTGCGCTTTCTCCTTTCTTATTACTTTCTGGAGAAGGATCTCGTTGGCTGATTTTAGAACTGGTCACAGTTGTTTTGTTATGACAAATTGTCAATGACTGAGTTTGACCAATGCTTTTTGGTGGACCATTCTGTGAGCTAGATAATACACCCAACTTCTGGCTGCGTAATGTTAAATTCTGAACCTATGAACCACATAACAGAAAATTGGGTTGAAAACAGGTGCTTTTAAACAACATGGTCATCATTACCATTGTCATTAAACAAACATTATTATTCTGCTTTTTCATACATAAAAAAGGCAAGCACTTAAAACAACTGATTAACCCTGAAGGAACAGGGAATGGCTAGTCTGAGTAGCCACATTTTACACATTAGGTGAAAATTTTTACAAAGACATTAAGAGACATAAATTATGAAGAACTAAAGGAAAACAAAAGAGGTCTAAAGAAACTATAAATACAAGGAGACTACTCTTCAGCATCTTACATTTTGTTACCAACTCTAACTAGAGATTACGATGGTACACTAATCTTTTAAGTAAAGAAAATCAATTCAACAAAACACCCTATTTTAACTAGCATTATGGAAAGTATTTTTAACAACTTTTTGAGTTTAATTTTGTTAATGTTCATATCAAACATTCACTGCCTTTTGAGGACTCGATCTCATGAACCGCCATGATTGTGCATGGACCTGAAATGGGTTTCTACAACAGCTCCTTCTGTCTACACCAGGCATAAAATAAACACACTGGTAGTCTATATAGTGGCAAGGATCACTCCAATTACTCTTGTTTGGAACTTATAAAGTTTCTCAGCAATAAGGAGAAGCAGCATCGGCAACAGTTGCTTGACTTTTTGTCTCTCTAGTGATGGTGCTGTGGTTACAGCACTCAGTTGTTAAAGTTGTAGCTATCTCCTTCCATAAAGATTGACAGGCGTGCAAATCCATAGGGAAGTTATGCTTTGTCCTAACGTATCACTGTTAGGTAGAATCTACTCCACAGAAATTATATGGGGTTTTTTTTAATAAATGCATCAAATACATTTTTGCTAGCAGTGGCCTTGGGAGGGAAGGGATACAAAGGTACCAGCACAAAAGAGAAAACATTACTTTGTAAATATTCTTTGGTTTCTTATGTCTTATGTCTCCACAACTCTATTAGTGACGCTCAAACATCACCCCTTCCTCTGCAAGCACCAGACCCAGTACTTAGTCAAAAACTACTACTAACTACTAAATAAAGGTGCATTTTGGGTCAGACAGGATATTAAAACCATTCTAAGTTACTGAAAGAATTTTTTATGTGATATCATAGATATTTCTTGGGTATTTCATAGCAAGGCAAATAGAAATTAATAACTGCTTGATGTTTTCATGAATAAAAAGAAAATACAGTAAAATCCAGAATTGTGAGACTGCCACTCCAAGCCCTCTATAATCTTCGTCCAAACCCCTCCATGTCCCGTTTTCCTCTGATTCCGGTCCACAGTTCTCATTGGCCTCCAGTCACACTGCTGTCTTCAGACACCTGGCCATTCCATCACTTGTGCTCAAGCTCTTAGCTAGCCTGTCTGTGGTCCTCAAAGCCGCTTCCTACAGTCAAATTCATTCTTAGTCAAAATGCTTCGCACCCACTAGGAAACCTGTCCAGTTTTTAGTTAAAAGGTAATTTTTCCCTCCCTTCTACACTGGCCGACAGCACTGACATGCATCTACCCTATTCAGCATTACTTACACAGACGTCTGTTAATAACAAAGCCCCAGCTGGCAAGCTCTCATTTCTGACATTAATTGTTTTTACTTCCCACACTCAAACACTGAAGATATAATTACAGCTTCAAAGTCTGCAGGATTCTCCTATGTCTGAGTCTGAATTATACTGAGATGAAAATATGGCCTTTTTTTTTGGTAGGCATCTGATTCTATTTATCATTTTTTAAGCTAAAATTAAAATACCCTGTTTAACATTTGACCTAATTTACCCATATTTACCCTAATTTACTCAAAGTCCAACAAATATCTGGCAGAAACACATTAAAATCTCCCAGGAAACCAAGACAAGACAGAATAGAACATCTGTCAGGAATAATCTATAGAGTAGGCAATATGATAGTGACAGCCAGGAACTGAAGGTTGCTGTTCGGAACCACTGAGTCAGACGTTACTCCAAGCTGACCCTCCAGAGGCTTTCCACAGGCAGTAAATCAAACAAGCGCAGACTGACCCCTCTCCTGCGGAGCAGCTGATAGATCTGAACTTCCTACCTTTGGGTTGGCAGCTCAACTCCTTACCACTAAGCCATCGGAGTTGGGGGGGGGGGAGGTATCTGAAAAACACAAACACCTGAGTACTTTTCTTCCTATGGAAATCTGATTCATCCTCAATAAATGAGGATTTAACACAATTTCTCTTTTATTTTCTAGAATTCTAGAAGAAAACATATGTATCGGCATATACATATGTTATATATAAACTGTTATCCTGTATAATAAAATGTTGTTACCTATAGATAAATTTGAAGTCATGTACCTATGGTTATTGGCTTACGTATTTATAACTTTTTATCACAATATAGCATTTTTTATTATTTCTTAAATTTTATTTTTGAGTGAAAGTTTACATAAATCATACTGGTTTTCTACTCGGGTTTAAGGAAGTCATAATAATTTATTAATATCATCAATTACAATGTCTGAACAACAAATTTTAAACATGTCAACTTAATACTGCTAAAGTATTATGCTACAAAATTAGTCATTACTAGGCCCAAATATTCCTAATTCTTTGACAGAATTTTACTGTTTGAGGATAGTCTATCCTTTCTAAAATAAAGAATATTAAGGCACTCTACTCCCACCTTTCACCTACTGGTACTTTTGAAATTTCTCCAACCTATTAAAACTTGCTGACTTCTGAAAACGTTTATGTTTGCTGTTGTAATACTGTTGAGTGCGAACTGACTCAGCTGACCCTCCAGCGGGTTTTCAGAGGCAGGAAATCACAGGAGAGAGACTGCTCACCTTTCTCCTGCAAAGCAGCTGGTGGGTCTGACTGCATGCTTTCGGGTTGGCAGTGTTACTCCTCCCCACCAAGTCACCAGAGCTCCCTCAGGCTATGTTAGGAGGCATTTTTCGAATTTCACACCTCGTATTTTTATTGCGTTTCCCCCATTCAAACACTCTCACATCAGTCATTTAACTTCAAACTAACAGTTAATGTTTGAACAAGCATTGTCTCTTCAAAGATGAGGAACTGAAGGGTTGCTATGCCTTGGATGGCAGGGACGTTTCCTTTCGAACCTCTATCTCCAAACAACGCTTCGTCCTTGCTTTTAACAGTTATGGTAGACAGCCTTGTGAACAGCTCTTCCTCCCCTACAGACACACTCCTCTTCTGTTCCAGGACAGCTTTCTGAAAGTCAGACTTCTTGTGCAGCGTAGTTGAAGACACAGACACTAACGCAGTAAATTAGGATGTTGCTGTTACTAGGTGGCCTCGAGTCAACTCCAGCTCCCAGCGATCCTGTGAACAACATGAGCTGAAGCTCATTCTATCCTCCGTCCTCAAAATACCCAGCATGCCAGAGCCTATGGTTACAGGCTCTGTGAAGCCATCCTGTTGGGAACCCCTGTCTCTGACCCTCTACGCTTCCCACCAAGATGGCATTTTCCACGGACTCGTCCCTCCTGACAGCATGCCAAAGTATGTGAGACACAGGACATGCCAAATTTCTCATTTTCCACAAATATGTTATAGAAGTTTTTAAATAGTGAGCAAAATTTGGCTGCTATGATGTCAGCAACAATACTACTATTAAAACTAAAGTGAAAGTTTGACATTTCTAATTATAAACAATTTCTTAAAAGGCAAAGGGATTTCTAAAAATCACAAAAGGGCACAAAAATATCTTAAAAGTAATAGTCCTGAACTTGAGGAAAGTTTCCATCAGAGGGTAACACAGTGTACCATCCTCTGTCACAGCACACCCCCATCCACTGACATTTCAAAAGAAGGACCAAGAACAACCTTCAGAGAGAAATTCATAAAAGCTTTTTAAACTGTTTGCCTAGTTGCTCAAAAGTTTGTCCTTGAATTAAGTCAGTTTATGATGTAGTCACATACTCGACTCTGAAAAGATACTTTTTATAAATATTTATGCTCACAGTGAAAAACTGCCATTGGGTCAGAACCAAAGCCTAACTGATCCCCCAGCCAGTTTTCAGGAGAGTGTGATTACACTGGAGGAGAATCCCCTTCTTTCTCTGACTGAGCTGCTGGTGGCTTAAACCCGCCACAGACACACCCCTTTAGGTTGGCAGCACAACTCGTTCCCTTCTTCACCATGAACTGCTTAAAAACTAAGATCTGAATCTGTGAGCCATCTTCAATCAACATGTAACAGAAACAGTAATTAGTAACACGTGGTATCTTATTTTTAATTACGTGCCAGGCGCTGCACAAAGTACTCCGTAATTCCTTTCCACAACTCTGAGCTATTTAATGCCAATTTATAGTGAATTAAGGCTTAATAAGGGTAATAATAGTAACACCTACCATTTAATGAAAGAGCCCTGGTGGTATAGTTCGTAATGTACCAGACTGCAAACAGAACTCACCAGTCACAGCTGCAGAAGCCCGGGAAGGTGGCTCTAAGGGAGAAGTGACCCACTGCAGTGGGCCTGGGGTAACATAATGCATCAGACTGACTATCCCCGCACTGCCAAAAGAACAGGCAAGCATGTCACAGAGAGAGCACAGCCAACACGCTCCTTCCAGGAGAGGATTGAGGATGTACCTGTGTCTCGTCTGTTTGGGGCACACTGTCAGGAGGGCCCAGTCCCTAAAAAATACAGTGTGCAGAACGTTGGAGGGTCAGGGAAAGACCGGAAGCCCCTTGACCAGACAGACTGACAGAGACAGCAATGGGCTCAAGCCTATTGGACTTGGTGAGGAAGGCTCAGGACAGGGCAGGGTCGGGAAGATCTGCTGTTCACAGGGCTGCTATGAGCAGGGGAGTCAAGGTGACAGCACCTAACAACAACAACAACACGTATCAGACACTGCTGTTTCGTACTTATTAACACATCTGATCTTCACTTAACAACCTTACGAGGTGAGCATTTAAATGGTGAGACATTTATAAAGAGGCCCGTCCACGTGCCAGTTATATACTTTTTTTATTCATTTTATTTGTTTCCTTTCCTTTTTTTTTTTTCCAGTTACATTTTTAACTGAAGAAAGAGATTTAGGATGTACAGGAAGTCAATAGCAGAGACTTTTTTAAACTCAGAGTCCATACTCTCAAAGCACAACTCTGTCCAAAATCAACCAGCGAGGAAATCAGAATCCAGCTCTGCTTGACTCTAACATTTTGTTCTTCAGCAGCATGTGAGAATGGCTTCTTACAACCCCCTCTGGAAGGGTTGGGGGGGAAGTGACTGGAAATCACTTCCAGTCATTACTGGAAATTACTGAGTGCCTATCATCTTCTAGATCCTAAACAGAAGTAAGAGTTAAGAAATCTTTATCTTATTAAAGTCTAGAAGCTTTATAATTTTAGCTTTCATATTTATATCTGTATTTTATTTCTAGTTTCTTTTGAAAGATCTTATAAAGGGGTTAAGGTTCAATTTTCAATAGAATCAAAAAAAGCAATATTCCACTCAACTGTCAAAATATTTTAAATGTGCCCTGTTTAATCCCTTTTTAAACTTAAATTCATCTTGACATAGTTATTACCTAATAGCTTACAAAGAAATCTACACAAAAGAACACATCTCACATAATGATTCCACTTTCATATTAAACTAATTTATACTGTACTGTTAGCAAACGTTTTCTGAGCGCTATTTGATAACAGATCATTATCAAATACTCTAGATATATATATGCCTAAGGGTGGTGGTAAGTTCTAGAAAATAAAAACCACTCTCTTGGAGTTTGCACTCTGCTTCGTGAAATTTCTAGCTGGAATACAGGCCACACAGTTTACGCTTATCTTAACCTGCAGATCCAAAGCGTCAGCACCGCACCACGAGGCCAGCCAAGCTCACCTGAGTAGCTGCAGACTGACAGGATGACGACGAGACAACAGGAATGTCAGACTGGACAGCGGCCACAGTGGTAGCGGGGGTGAAAATCAGCTGTACAGACGGAAAACAAAAAAATACCCTCAGACAAAGGAACGAGTCCCACACACAATGTACAGTAGGCAAGAGAGACTGGAATTGGTGACACTGAGACAATGCAGTTCGGAATTATCTCCTAAGCAAAAGGTTTCGTACGGGACAAAGACGCTTCCGATATAGGGATCAAAATAAAAATCATCAACATTTTAAAACAGATTATAACTATAATGGGTAGAGAAATAAATCAGCACTCAAAAGGGAATGTAAGATCTTCAAACCAAATTTTGGCCAAACAAGCTATTATACCTAATGTTTTCCCAGTTCACAACTACTCTGACAGAGTTCACTTAAGGGAAAGTTAAAATAGACAACTACATTTACTATTCTCAGACACAAACTGAATTTCAGTGAGAAACGTGAAGAAAAACACTAACAAGTCTCTTCACTCTTCTTTGCCCCAAAGGTGATTCTACAGCACAAAGTGCATGTTAAGATTTTAGTGAGTTACATCACACCCTTTCCAGTCAGCTGGCCAGGTGCCTGTCCTCCAGATTTCTTGGCACAACTTGGTGGGCACACGCAGGACAGAGTCTGTTTACTGAAATACATCAGTTGGCATGCCGTCAATGCCTGGACCTTGGTTTTTGCCAATTCTTTCAGAGCAGCATGAACGTCTTCCTTCGTAACCACAGGCTCTTGCTCATATGTCATTTCATGAAATTCTTCTGTGTCTGCCAACTCATTTTGGTACAATGACTCTGTACACCCCTTCCATCTTCTTTTAATGCTTCCTGGATCATTTAATATTCTGCCCAAAGCATCCGTAAGTATTGCAACTTGAGGCTTGAATTGTTCATCAGTTCCTTCAGCTTAAGAAAATCGAGCAAGTTCAGCCCCTTTGATTTTCTCCTCCAGCTCTTTGCACATTTCATTATAATACTTTGTTTTGTATTCCCGTGCTGCCCTTTGAAATCTTCTGTTCAGCTCCTTAATATCTTGATTTCTTCCCTTTGCTTTGGCTTCCTGACACTCCAGTGCAATATTCACAGTCACTTCTGACATACATCTTGGTCTTTGCTTTCTCCTCTGTCTTTGTAATGACTCGCTGCATTCTTCCTGGATGATACTCTTTATAACTTCCCACAGCTCATCTGATCTTCTTCACTCATTAGTGTTCAAGGCCTCAAATCTGTTCCTGAGATGGTTTTGAAATTCAGATGCGACAGACTCAAGGTCAAATTTCAGTTCCCCGGGATTTAATTTTCCTTAGCTTCAACCTTGTGCTTGAACTTGCATATGAGTAGTTGGTGGTCTCTTCCCCAATCAGCACTTGGCATACTTTTCAGCTGATATTGAGCTTCTCCAGCCAACTGACTGGAAGAGATCTATATTTGTTCCCATTCCAGAGAAAGGTGACCCGAAAGAGTGTGGAAATTATCAAACAATATTATTAATATCATATGCAAGCAAGATTCTGCTGAAAATTATCAAAAAATGACTGGAACAGCACATCTAAAGAGAACTGCCAGAAGTGCAGGCTGGGTTTAGAATAGGCTGTGGCACTAAGGATATTGTAACTAATGTCAGATGGATCTTGGCTGAAAGCAGAGAGACCAGAGGAATGTCTGTTTCATTGACTATGCACAGGCATTTGACTGTGTGGATCACAACAAACTGTGGTTGACTTTGAGAAGAATGGGAATCCCAGAACACTTGATCATGCTTATGTGAAACCTACACTTGGGCCAGGAGGGGCAGATGTCAGAACAGAGCAAGAAAACACTGCGTGGTTCAAAATTGGGAAGGGTGTACATCAGGGATGTGTCCTATCTCCATACCTTTTCAACCTGTATGCAGAACAGATTATCTGGGAGGCTGGACTCTATGAGGAGAAATGTTGCATCAGGACTGGAGGAAGACTCATCAACAATCTACTTTAGGCAGATGACAGACTGAAACTGAGGAGGACCTAAAGCACTTGCTGCACAAGATCAAGGACTGTAGCCTTCAATATCAATTGAAGCTCAACATCAGGAAAACAAAGATTCTCACCACTGAGCCAATTGGTAGCATCATGATAAATGGTGAAGAGACTGAGGTTGTTCACAGCTTTGGTTTGCTTGGCTCCACAATCAAGGTGTGCCTGATCCGGGACATGGTCTTTGAAATTACTTGCTATGCATCAGAGAGCTGGACACTGACTAGGGATAACAGAGGGAGAATTGACACCTTTGAGCTGTGGGGCTAGAGAAGAGTATTGAATATACCATGGACTACTAGGAGAAAAAGCAGGTTTATCCCCGTGAGGGTAAGACCAGGCTGCTCCTTGGAGGTAAGAATTCTGAAGCTTCGTCTGACATACTTTGGAAATGTTGCAAGGAGGTACCAGTCCTTGGAAAGGGACATCATGTTTGGGAGGGACAGTGCAGGAGAGGAAGACCCTTGATGAGATGGACTGATTTCATGACTGGAATAAAAGGGGGTAGGCGTGTCAGAGACAGTGAGATTGGCACAGGATAGAGCAGTGTTTAAGGTTGTTGTACATAGGGTCACTATGCGTCGCAGGCAACTTGACGGCACGTAGAAGCAACAACAACATCATATCTATAAAACAAGCCTAATTTGTTGTTGATTTCAAACCACTTATAAAGAAATATGCATCATAAAATGCAAATACCACACGTCAAAATTCAACAAAACAGCCTGTGATAAACTCTATATTAAGAAAAAAAACATGTTACTCATCACTACCTCTTTGTATTTTTTTAATACTGAGCCAAATGCCATCAATTTTTAAAGCAAAACAATACTTAAGATAACATCTTGTCTGACAATTGTTTCAAAGAATCTGTAAATACTCAAATTGTATCAGGAATTATTCAATTCCTAAAAAACTCACTGCTATTTAAGAGAAAACACTAACTAAAGGATCTTACAACAAAGTCCTTTTGTTACTAAATTTAAGTAAATTTATTAATAAAGTTATAATTGTCACAAAAAGAATTTTTGGTGCAAACAGCAAGAAAGCATTAAACCTACAAGTTTATGGGAAAGATACTCTGTTTAGCTTGAACCATATGAAACCACTTATTTGAAATTTTTTTTTTAAATGGTCAAATAACCATTTCAAGTAGTTTGATCTTAATAAGATCTCATGGGGGAAAAATTAAAATGTGAGACTGTCTACTCAACAGTTTTAAGTAAAAAGTCATGCCACTGTTTCTTGTTAGAAATATGAATGGAAGCTTCTTTTTGCAATTTTAGCTAGAACACTGAAGATTCTGTATATAAAACTGGTCAAAAAAGAATATAAAAAATATAATGCAAGGCCAAAATCTTTGTGTAACTTTTTAAACATCTCAAACAAGGTAAATGTCAACCATTCTTTTTTCTATTTTCTACTATGTCAGCCAAATCTTTAAAGAAGCTACAAAATTAGAGAATATAATCAAATATCATCATATTAACTAATACTCATATTAATAAAAGAACACAAGTAAATTTGGTAGATTTGAAATGGATAGAAACAACCAAAGTTAAGAACCATCTGATGAATCATTAGATTATTCAATTCAGATTTCAGAAACTCTACAGATATAAATTCTAATTGATAATTACAACCTAGGTTTTCCATATTTCTAACTATATTTCATCAATTATTATGATATTAAAGATATATTAGTTTGTGTATTATGGAAGTAATAATTATACATCTAAGATAATATCAGTGATAAAATGCATCCTAATTTCAGATGGTAAAATATAGAAAAAGTTTTGAAATTATAGAAATTTTGTATTTTAAGAAAACCACTCCAATATTAAGGAATCTCTCAAAGTTTCTTAATGTTACAAATTATTATTTGATGCACCAAACAAGGTCTACCAACTAAAAATGTTATCATTTCATGATATAAATGTGTAAGAGCTGGGCACAAGATAAAAATTAGAACATTAATTATTTAAAATGTCTCTTCTATCAAATCAAGAAATATTCTTTCCTCTCTCTCAAGTCCTTAAACAGTGAGAAGCTTCAGTAGCTCACAGCTTACCATCTGAGCTCGGAGGTACATCTGAGCTTGGCTGGCTGTCAGGGTAGGGGAGGTGCTCCCCAGTAACATGGTCTGCTGGGTAATACTGCCGCTGGTGGAACTGGAAGCCTGGGAACGGCTTATTAACTGTGCAGGTGTAGGAGAAGTGGAGAGGTTGATCTACGGAAGAAAAAAGATTAGGTCGTAGGCTTTCATGTATGTCTCTGAAGTCTACTGAGTGAGGTTAGTCAAGCGGTGTGTCTGAAATGTGGCAAAAGAACCCAAAAGAGACCCTTACCTCTGGGAGACCCTGAACGTCTCCGCTCAGTTATCTGCACACAGTGCAGGTAAGAGTTAGTAATAAAAACAATGTTTACAATGGAGCCACTATGAGTTTATTTAAATTCCCTGTATCTTTCTTAAACGTCATGTCTACTGCCTTTTATTTATTTTTTTTTGTCTACTACCTTTTAAATATTGGACCTATTGCTTCCATTATTTTAATATTCTAAATAACTCCAAATATTTTAATCAACAGTTTACACTGTTTTGATATACAAATTCACATTCTGAAGCATTTCCGAGGCAACAGAAAGTGCAGGGGAAACCACACACAGATAATCTACTCACATACATAAAAACAGACATGTAACATATAATTAAAGCTTTAACAAAAGCTATCAGAGCAGGGGGAAAAAATACAATTGCTACTTGTCAGATGGGGAAATCCTGAATATTTTTTAAAAAAACTAAATATAATTATAAATTAAAAAATTATAAAAAACTATAAATTATATTAAATTATATATTATAAATACTACATTAAAGTTTAAAACTACTTTTAAGTGAATAAAACCAGTCTTTCTCTGTAACCAGTTTATTTCCTGAAGAATACACAAGACACTAACTCTATCTGGGAAAGGAACCTGGGAGCGGGGAGGACAAGGCAAGGGAGGCTTTCATGCCCTTTATCTTTTCAACTGTATACAACATGCATTATTATCCACTTTAAAAGGCATTATTTTAATGTAAGTAATATGATCTGATCTCATCTTTGTGGGGCAAAGAATAAATCTTAAAAAACCCACAGTCTACTAGGCTACTGGTTGAGACAACAAGGACTAAAATATCCACCTACACAGAGCAAAAGAGCAGAGAAGGGGTGATAATATTAGTTCAAGCCTGTTTTAAATACCTAACAAATTATTAAAAGACCTCACCCTAAACTACTACTTTTTTTTCCCATATTATACTACATGTGGGCATTTCGGACAAAGTCTTTCAAAAACTACTCATAGCAGAGTATAACTGAACCAAGATTTTCTAACTTTTGGTGTATTTTCATGTTGAGGGAACTTTCCTGTTATTATCTGATGCCTTAATAATGAAGGTCATACTATAGTAATAATGTTTTCCAGACGACGATTCTTAAGGCAGGAATCAAGGAGAGAGGGAAGAAAAGAGAGGGGGGAAAAACCCACATACTTTAAACAAAATCATAGTATATAGTTCTGGGGTTGTTTTTTTACTTTTTTTCTCAATCTTTTTCTTTTACATTTATTTTTACTGGTTTTCTTACAAAGTTCATATATACCATATTTCACACTCTTCTTCATTCACACTGTGTTTCATACAATCATGCCCATGTATTTTTAGGTTTTATAAAATTAATCATCATTGGATTTTGCCTATCATTACCGAATTTTTCAGGTCCCAGTCAAAGCCTTCCCATTTCCTGCACCCCTCCCTGCACCCACCAAATTGTGCAATCCTGTGGTTTCGCCCTTATCCATCCTCACCCTTCTGCTCCCACCCCGTCCCCTTCTAGGTCCCCAATACATGTTCTACTAGTTATCCTAATACAGAACTTTATTAAAAATGATCAGCCGATTGCTAAAATGTTTAGAAAGTCTGTTTAAGGAATTAGTATAAACTTGTGCATTATGTATTTTATAAAAGTTACAGTTTTTTAGAAAAGGAAGAAAGAAAACCACATAGTAACTTCCTGGCCACCTGCACTGCACTTTGTCTAAGTTATGAGATCAAAAAATAAGTCTCATCTCTACTTTCAGTTCCCTATGGTGGAGCTGCTGCCTTTCTAAATCACAGCCCGCCCAAGAAGAAGAGAAGGCAACAGTGGCCGATCCTGTGCCATCCTCACAATCTCTGCTGTGTCGGAGCCCACGATGGCAGCCGCTGTGGCAATCCTTTTTGGTTTCTGAAAGATAACACTTCAGGCAGTATCTACTAATAAATGCCGAGTCCACAGGAGCCAAGAAATCAGTGCTCAGCTCTGCAAGAAATCCATCTTCCCTGCCGACCTGACTACAACATTTACTTCTTTGCCCAGGAAGCAGTAGTCAGAACAGTAGGGAAATACTACATGGTTCATGGCCAGGAAAGGAGTGCATCAGGGATGCATCCTATCTCCTTATCTTTTCCATTTATATGCAGAACGGATCGTTCTAGAGGCTGGACTTTATGAGGAGGATTGTGGCATCAGGATTGGAGGAAGATTCATCAACAACCTACATTATGCAGATGACACAATTTGCCTTGCTGAAACTGAGGAGGACATGAAGTGTATGCTGCAGAAGGTCAAGGACTGTAGTCTTCGATATGCATTAAAGCTCAGCATCAAGAAGACAAAGCTTCTCACCACTGAACCAACTGGCACCTTCATGATGGGACAGAGAAGAGAATGAAACTGTTGATAACTTCAAATTTCTTGGTTCCACAATCAACACTCTTAGCAGTGACAGGCAGTCAGGAAATCAAAAGACAAACTGCACTGGGAAAGTCTGCTGTGACCTTAGTGTCAGTCTAGAGACTGAGGTGCGCCTAATCCAGGCCATGCTCTTAGCAATTACTTGCTATGCACCCAAGAGCCAGACAATAACTAAGGATGATAGACGAATCAATGCCTTTGAGTTGTGGTGCTAGAGAAGAGTGCTGAACATACCACGACGGCAGGAGAACATACAGGTCTTTCCTAGAGAGAGTGAAACCATACTGCTCCCTGGAGGCATGGTTTCTAAGGCTCTATCTCACACACTTTGGGCACATGTCCAGAAGGGATCAGTTTCTGGAGAGGGACATCATGCTTGGAAGGGTGGAAGGACAGCACAGGAAAAGCAGACCCTGGATTAGAAGGACTGACTTAGTGACTGGAGCAGTGGGATTATTAGGTCTGTCGGAGATGATGAGACTGGCTCAGGGCAGGGCAGATTTCAGAGCTAATGTACACAGGCTCGCTATGAATCCCAGGCAACTCAATGGTACATGACAACAACAACATATTTAATAAGGCTTTTCTTTATTTCGCTTCTTACTTTGCTTATCCTAAACAAGGAGACAAAAAAGCCCATCAAGTTAATTGTGACTAAGTCCAGAATTCAAAAGAGAGAACCAGGTGCACTAGGAAAAGCCAGTGAGTTCCTAACAACACTTTCTTAGTGTTCATGAAACCACCTTCCACAGGGTCTCTGCCCAGAATGCTTCTATCGCCAAAGTCCATTTGGGAGCTGCCTTTGCGATCTGGCTAATCTAAAACAATCAGATGTCACAAGAAGAAAGAAGACACACGTATTAAAATAATGAAAGTCTTCTGCGTTCAGGGCATGAAAACATCTTTAAGACCCATGTTCAGTGAAAACAGGCTGCAGAGTACGTCACTCACTGTCCCTGGTCAGACGGGCCTCACAGCTTCCCCTTCAGGGGTTTGTGAGGCTGGACCGTGCATGGAAGGAGACGGCCCATCTTTCTCCTGAGTACCTGCTGAAGGATGTGAATCATGAGGGGCCACCTTTGGTTAAGCAGCATGACTCCCTACGCACGCCGCCTCCAGAGCAGAGTATCAGGACAGTATAATGTCTTTATACTGCGAGGTGGAACGTCACCTTCAAGAGGACAATTTGCTGTTCGTTCTTTCATGTCATACCAACACCTGAGGCTAAGGAATGGTGGCTTACCAGACCAAGAGAGCCTACCTGGGGGCCTGATGCCCGCTAAGCTAGAAGCCTGATCGCTGTGACCAGGCACAGGAGAGTGCATCCCTCTTTGGGCCAGGGAAGTTCTATGGTGTGACCTGTCCCAGATCCTCTATCTCTTCATTTTATCCTTTTGGGGTAAAATTAAGTTGTATCTGTAAATATAATGTAACAGGGAGCTCTGATGGCATAATGCACAGCACGTTACATTGTTAAACAAAAGGCCACAGACATCTCCATAAATCTTTCCATGAATTAACAAACCCATGGGAAGCAAGAGACAGTAAATGAGCTGGTGTCTGGCTATTGGGCACTCTGAAAGAAAGTACCACTGACCTCGGATCTGGTTCTGGGCGGCTAGGGTCTAAGAAATTCTGCATGGGCAGCTGGTCTGAAAAGTCCTATCTGTCCAACTTGTGAACTATGACCCAGAACTATCTAGGTAGCCAAGCTGGGAGAGAGGGGGGCTACAAGAACAGCTGGTCATGAGGCTGGAGAAGTGGGTAAATGACAGCCTGGATTCACGCAGCCTTACCACCCAGAGAGCAACGAAGGTGGGGTGAACCCACTGTGCTCTCTGGGTAGCTTATATACCAATATACGTGTACATACACATTTAAACACACACAGAACTGTAAGTAAAAAGTCGAAAGAAACTACTAAATTGTGCGCACACACACACACTAAACTGACAAAAACTTACTATCATCAGATTCAACACAGATAAACACACATATTTAAGAGAGCAACCAACACATCAAAGGTGAATAATGACAGTGGTACAATCAGGAATGATTTATATTTGTTTTTCTGACATTTTCATATTTTCTACCTAAGTATTAGCTTTATAATCTGGAAGGAAATGCTGTTTCCTTTTTTCTTCTGAATGTTTATGCTGGTATATGTGATTTGTTTTTGTTATAAGAGAGCAGCTTATCCATTTTGCCTTATTATATAGTAATTTGTAGGTAATTCAAGTATCTAATGGAATAAAGTGCTAGACAGATTTTAAATAATAATATCCCCCTATAAAAGGAATTTTTAAGAAATGGAAGATTATAAATAAAGACATTCGATAAAATGCCTATCCAATTCATATCCATTATTTTTGCTTTCTGCATTATAAGCTGGTGAAAAAGGCAGGGGGGCACCTCACAATGCTTTTAGGAGTGTGATTCCCCAGAAAGTAAATCTGCAATTCTGAGACAACTGGAATCCTGGAAAGCATGTTAAACATTCATCAACAGTATAGATATTCTATTTGACAATACGCAGCAGCTTACAGAAGATGATACCGACCAAAAAAACGCAAGACACAAATATATTTTTTCAAAAATACAAAATACCTGCCTGCGTTTTCAATTAAAAAAGGTTAAACATATACACACACATTCCTGATGTCATATACGTCTGGAGATACACAGGAAAAGTGTTTGGGGGCAGGGAGGTACACTACAACTGAAGGGACAGAGGGGCTGACAGGAAAAGGAGGCTGGAAGGTCTTAATGCTTTTTTTTTTACTAGTTTATTTACAAAATTTGAATACATTGTTTTTCACATCAATTCCTTCCCATTTCCCTCACTCCCCCATCCATCAAATTGTGCAACCTACTTCATAATTAATTCTCCACACAAGCCCACACAAACATCCTCAACTCTGCTCCACACTCCCCCTCGAGTCCTCATACTCATTCTATAGTTAACGGTTTTATACAATATTTATCTTTAGGACACTGAGTTCACTCAGCATAATGCCCTCCCGTCCCTCCCAAGTTAGGTAGTAATTCACAAAATCATCGCTCCTGTGTGCTGCGTAGTATTCTATTGTGTGAATGTATCATCATTTCTCAGTCTATCCATTCTTAGTTGGACTTCTGGGCTATTTCCATGTTCTTGTGGTGAATAATGCTACTTTGAACATTGGTGTACAAGTCTACATTTGTGCCTCAGTTCTCATTTTCTCGGGGTGTATGCCAAGCAGTGTAAGAGCTCGGTCACATAGAATTTCTATGTTCAACTTTTTGAAGAAGCACCAAACAGCCTTCCAGAGTGGTTGTACCATCGTACAATCTCCCCAATAATGTGTAAGAGTTCCTATCTCACTACATTCTCTCCAACAAGTGTTATCTGCTTTTCTGTTAAACTTTTCCACTGTTACTAGAGTCAGACGGTATGGCATTATGGTTTTGATTTGCATCTGTCTTTCTGCCAGTGATTATGAGCATTTCTTCATATGTCTGTTGCCTTTCGAATATTTTTCTGTGAAGTCTTTCCATGTCTTTTGCCCATTTTGTAATTAGGCTATCAAGTCTTTTTCTTATGAAGGCCCAAAAACAGTTTTAACACATTGCCACAAATGACAGCAAATGTGTTTCTAAGTACGGTGGTCAATTTAAAAAGTGTGCAGCAACGTGTTAAGTATCTTTTACCAAGGTTGTTGCTGTTCTTGTTAAATATTTATTAATATTAAATTTTCTACTTGGCTTCCCACATTTCCCCTCTTTTATTTAAAGGATAATTTTGTGGTCATCAAGACAAGCATGATTTATTTTCTTCAGGATTCACTCTTGTTTGTTTTTTGTTCTCTTCATCCTTTATATAATTAAACAAATATAATGTTATTGTTAAATGTCAAGTCGTAAGTGATTCATAGTGGCCCTATGAACAAAAGGCCTGAGCACTGTTCATAGAGTTTCTGGAGGCAAGCTATTTCAGAAGTGGATGCCACTCCTGCTTCCAAGCTTGCTTTAATCAGGGAGCTCCACCAAACACTGTCCACCATGGGTGACCATTATCACATTTGACAGATCAGTGTCATGGTGTTCAGCATCACAGCAACCACAGGTTACCTCTGCACAGCCAGTGCTATAGCACTCAGAGGAATGTTTGACCAAAAACACCTTTACTAATGTGAAGGGAGAAATACACCTGGCCTATATTTGCTTTTGTTGTGCACTGGTGAACTGGAGCTGAGCCATAATTTACCCTCCAGGAGCTTTCCAGAAGCAGTGAATCACACAGGAGGAGACTGCCCGTTTTTCTCCCATGGAGCAATTCCAACTTTGAACATGCAGACTGGCAGTGCAATTCCTTACCACTAAACCAACGGAGACTTTCGGAATATACTTATACACATGTTATTTTTTCACTTCACAGAATAAAAAATGTGTCTACAAACTCTTTGCAATTAGACTACAAAATGTCTGCAGTTCTTTAAGACACATCTGACATGAACAGCCAGTACCAACGTTCACAGTACCAAAGTTCAAGGCCAGACTGAATAACTGAATTGTTATTTTCTTCAGTCTAACATTTTTAAGTCAGAAGTAATTTATTTTTTAACTACTTTGCTCATGATCTAGGATACTGCTATGCTAAAAAAAAAATTATTTATGATTAGAAAGATCAAACTGGTAGCCAGAAAAAGTTACATGTGAATCACAGCATGCACGCAGTCAGCAACGACTCTTGAATAAAGAAATGCAGAACACGTTCACCTGCAATTCCTTAACCACCTACACAGTACGATCTGCCAGAGTCAGTTTCACAAAGTATCAAAAGTGTTATCAGCCTGGACTAGTAAATAAATTGCTAGAAAGATATTATTAGAATAATTAAATGGTTCTCATCATGAGGCAATTTTGCCCCTCATGAAACACTTTCCAAGACCTGAAGACACTTTTGGTTGTCCACATGGGAGAACAGGAGAGCTCCCCGCGCCCCTAACAGCCAACTGGTGGAGGCGAGGGTGCAGGTCAACAGCCCACAATGCACAGAGCATCCTACAATGGACAACTGCCCAGTGCAAACCATCACCGTCGTGATGCTGAGAAACATGTGCCAATAAAATCGGAATATAGATGCCATTATATCAATGCTAAATTTCCTCAACTGGATCCCTTTCCTGTGATTCCACAAAAGAACAGATTTGTTCCTAGAAAATATATATCAATGTATTTCAGGTATTGAGTATATCTCAACTTACCTGTAAACGTCTCAGAAAAACCCAACATATATGTACAGAGGAAGAGAAATGTTAAAACCTAGTGAACCAGGGTAAGAGATACATAGAAATGCTTTCTATTACTCTTGCAATTGGAAATTACATCAAAATAAAGACTATTAAGTACGCAAAAAACCCAGGGACATGTGCAGTTCAGGAAGTCGGAGTCTTTACTCCCTTTCCAAACGCAAAGTATTCTCTCATGGATAGGTATTTGCAAATTTGATCAAGATAAAAATTTAAAATGTAAAATGTGTACTGTATGCACAAAGCTAAAAATATGTAGATATATACCAAGAACATAACATATTTTAGAACAGCACAGTAAATGTACTGCTTAATATCCCTGCATTTCAGGCTTCTAATATACATTGAAAACTGATCATTTAGGAATATGTAAATCTTAACAAAATCAAAAGAAAAGAATGGGCAAGAAGCAATACTAAGATTTTTAAGACTCACATTTTCAGACATTTAACAGTATTTGTAAATTCCTGAACCTTATCACTCCCTTATTTAAATAACATTCAACAAATAATAGCTTCAAATATATCATCAGTAGTTTACTTTTAGAAGATAATGAAAAGCTATAAATGCAATTAAAAAGCTATAGAGCACTTACAGATGTCTGGGACATACTCGACTGCTGTGTGACACTTCCTGTGGGGGAAGTAGACGGTCTTCCACTGGACAGACTTGCCTAAAATAAAGAGACCTTTATACTAGTATGTCTATTACAGCCTGAAGCTAAAAGCTTTCCCAGTCAAAAGTAACACATAATCAAATACAAAACAGAGTCTCAAAAGGTCAATTTTATTATCTATATCCACTGTCAGTTTCTCTAAGTTTTGGTCAGCTTTGAAGTAGAATCACCACTCCAGCATTAGAAAAAGAAACTACAACTACATCAAGAGCCAGGAGGTTTCCGTTTCCTAACTTGTATCACAAACACAATGCTATTTAAAATTGTAATACAAGAAACAACAGCTGCTGGTAAAAGAAATAAGCCTTCCTTAGGCTCAGTCACTAGAGATCCTAGATGAAACTACTGAGGACATTTACAACTGAATCTCACATGTGATTTTATTTAAATAGGAATACAATAATAAACACAAATTTTTAAAGAAACTTTAATGAAGAAAAATACTAAATCAAGAAAATTCTTTTAAAAAATTTAATCATAAAATCATCTTCTCAGCATTAGGCATTAGTACAATTGATTACCTTTTACAAAGGGGGGGTATACTTATTTATAAATAAAAGTCTTCTGGAGGACAACTATTGCTTTCTAGTCATCTGGAATAAAAGAGAAAGAGAGAAACCAAAGCACAGTAAAGACCTCGGTCTGCAAGACTTTCAGCATTAGTCTACATGAGCCAAAGTGTTCTCAATCTTTAGACCAGAAAAACCAGCTGATACCCAGATACACCACCTGACTATTCTGATGAAGCTAGGTAGAAGGAAAGAAAAAAATATAAAAGAGAATGCTAATTATTTAGAAGTTCTACTTGCTTGACCAGCTGAGACTACAGAACTCTGTATATAGAACTGCTCTGAGATAATCTTTAAACCTTAGACTACAATTTATCTTAAAGTCACCTTCTACTTAAACAAAAGATTGAACCATAAAACAACAAAAAAAATCATCCATGAATAATGAGCTCCTTTAAAAATTCCACTTGATGATATCAAAAGGTCAAAAATGATTCTAAAGAAAAAGTGAGAAGGTAAGGGGACAGGGAAGCTGAGTGCTGGAAATGGTACAAGCAGAACAGAATGAGTGTGAATGATGACACACGTGGAACATGTAACCCGTACCACAGAATCACGTGCACAGAGATGGCTAAACGGGAACCTGGCTTGTTATATAAACTTTGACCTTCAACACAATAAAATACTGTGTTAACAATTCACACCTACCACTTAGAGGCACCTCAGTCAAGAAGCCTGGGTCTCTAAAAATACCACGGAGCCTTGAAACCCTATGAGGCAGTTCTCTTCTGTGCACAACATACCAAGCTGCCATGAGTCACAATCAACAACAACTAACAAGAAGAACGTGACATACTAAGCTTCAGGTGGCCGCCTTACAAAGTGTGGAAAAGGAACACTTAACACTTCCCAACTATTTGCTTCTTTTTTAAATTTTTTTTATTTGCTTCTTATAAATAGTTCTATCCTGTTTGACATTTTCATACATGAAAGTTATTTGCATAACAAACAGCTTTTTGTTCAAATGTAGATATAACCACGTAACCCTGACTACTCACTGTTCTTCCTAGAATTTTTGTACTAACGTAGGCCAGCAGTCTGGTATTTCTGCAATGTAAAGAGAAATCAAAGGGGCAGAGAAGCTGGCAAACAAGGTATCTTAGAAAACATGTCCCCCCCACCTTAATTGACTGACTGACAGGCCACGGAAACATTTCCTTAAGGGGAAAGAACATAATCCGCACAGACTCTCCGAGGCCTCTGCGTTCGCCTCATCTCTTCTCCTCATCGCCTGTCCGTACGTGGGTACTTGACGCTCAGGTCCTGTGTCTCCGTCTCACCTGAACAGCTGCAAGGCTCTGAAGCTGGGAGCCGCTCAGGTGCTGTTGCTGGAGAGCCGCAGTGTGCAGCATCAAGTGCTGCTGTTGGGCTGCGTACATCTGCTGCAGGTACTGAGCAGCCGAGCTGGGGGGGCGGTGCAAGGCCTGCTGAATCACCTGTGACAAGCCAAGCGGACCAGGATCAAAGCACAGTCTTAACCTTCGGCTTCATCAGCAAATAAAGCACACACATGTAGACGCATGAGAAGTTCACTCCAGTGACAAGAGCCCAGTGACATCAAACATATGAAAGTATTTTTCTCCTAGTTACCTATCTCCAGGGTTCAAAAATTGACTGAAATGAAAATTATCCAGTAGAGGTGGTCTGCAAGAGAAGTACAGCCATAAGCATTTGAAAAGCTCTCTCTCACTAGCAGTCAAAGGCTTACAAACGAAGGCAAGACACTACTTTCCAACTTCCAGATGGATAAAGACATAGAGCACTACTACGATGACTACTTCTGAAGGAGCTCTGGTGGCCTGTTGGAAAGGAGTTGTGCTGCCACACCAAAGGCAGGCAGTCTGAGTCCACCAGCTGCTTTTTGGCAGATGGATGGACAATCTCCTCCAGTGACATTTTACTGCCTCCGAAAACCACCCTGGAGGGTCAGTTCCAACATACAGAACAGCCGCAGCTACTAACTGGGGAAACACTGAGACACTGTGAACAAGAGCATAGGCTGGTGTCCTCCCATTCTCTGGAACACTTACACAAGAAAGAGAGCGGGTTTATTCTCATTCCCTGGGAACAAGAATAAAAGCTGGCATAACCTCTTGGGCACAATTTGGCAGCAATCAGCGTCTGGCTACAGACAGGAATAGTACTATTATAAGACCATTACAAATAGTGATGTAGATCAGAACTACCCAACAGATACTGACAATCAACATATGGCTACTGAGAACGTAAATGGGGATAGGACAAGAGTTTGAATTGTTATGTAAAGAGTCACAGGCAGCCCGCTGTCAGCCTGTCCGGCTGACTCGGACTCAGAGCGTCTCTGTGGTCAGCAGATCAAAATCCTGCCCGATCCTGCGTCATCCTCACATCTCTGCTGCGCTTAAACTCACTGTCAGCGTCAATGCAAACCCATCCTGCTGAGGCTCTTCAGGTAGTCAGCGGCTATTTTATTGGAAAATGCAATATAAATATTTATTTCTTCAAAGAAACAAAAGTCCCCAAATAAATCACCAGGTTAAAAAAACAAACAAAAGAAAGGCTCCTAAATGGACCAGAGTAAGCTGCCATTTTTATCTGAAAATATTTGAAAGGATATGCAGTAAAACTTTAAAACACAACAAGTAGGGGGTTAAATTAGAGGTGATCTTCGCTTCTGGCCTGTACGTATTATAAATGTCAGACAACCTCAAAATGAGTAAAAAAAAAAAATCCCCAGAGACGCGCAGTTCGAATCCACCAGATGCTGTGCTGGAGACGAACGGGCAGTCTCCTCTGTACCAGTCAGATCTATGTGACAGTACACAAACAAAATATAGTAAAATTAAAACAACAACAACAAATATCCAAACTGCCATGTCTGATTCACAGTGACCCTCTCCGGGTCCAGCTTTCATTCTTGGAGCTGGTGGATTTCAGTGATCAACTCTTTGGTTACCAACTGGATATGCAGCACCACACGCCTTCAAACTGAGTAATTTCTACTATTATTGATGGAATTTACAAAGCTATTTATTAACTGTTGTTGTTATGTGCTGTCGAGCTGCCTATAACTCACTCTACAACAGCTCTCAAACCTGCCCAATCCTCGGCCAGTCTCACTGACCCCAGTACACCTAATCCCATCGCCCAGTTACCACGTCAATCTATGTCATCGGGGTCTTCCTCTCCTGTACTGTCCCTCCACCCTTCCAAGAATGATGTCCTTCTCCAAGGACACAGGCCCAAAATTTGTGAGACAGAGTTTCAAAATCCTTGCCTCCATGAAGAATCTTAGTTTCACCCTAAGACAGACCTATTTGTTCTCCTGGCTGTCCATGGTATGTTCAATACCCTTCTCAAAGGCATCAATTCTTCTGTCACCATTAGTCGTAAACTCATGAGTAACTTTACCCCAATTCTGAAAAAAAGCATCTTTCCAGGTGTTGCAAACTACTTCCACCCATTCAGAGAGCTTTAAACTGTCCAACAATAAATTTCTAAACCTGCTCTAACTCCTGTCACAAAAATCAATGGAGGCTTTTGACTCTTAGTTGCAAGGGACTGCTGTTAGGTACCACGGAGTATGACACGTAGGCACCCTGTGACCAACTAATCTGAACCTTGTCCCATCCTGTGCCAATCCTTATCATCTCGGACATAAGCAAGCCCACTGCTGCAGTCACTGTGTCAATTCATCTCTCTGACCCTCCACTTTTCCAAGTTCGAAAGCCTCTCCGAGTATGTCCAAAGTACACGATATGAAGCTTTGTCATCCTTGCCTCCAAGGAGCACTTGACTGCACTTTCTCCAAGATGTAACTGTTCTTTTAAGGGGCTAAGGGCCAGCATTGGGTGAGAGTACTGAGAATTACAATGTCTTTGTGGTCAGATAAACCTCCTCATGCTTTTCTAATTCCATACAGAATTCTAAAATTATACTGAAGGAAGTAAGAAATTATCTAAGGCAATTTTTTTTTGTCATAATGGGACAATTTTTCCTGTTGTTAGTATTAGGGACAGTATCATCTTCCTTCTCCCAGATCAATACTCTTCTCAGTACAAGTAAGATGTAGAGAAAGTTGTTCTCACTCTGTTCCTCTCCAGGGATGATGAGAGCAGCTCTGCTGAGATGGTCTAAAGCAAGTTACCTTGTTAACCCGAAGGCTGCATGTCTCCACAGTTCTTAATTCACCAGTGGCAAGAGGGGAGAAATATGAATAGTCCCTGCCACGAAGATTTACAGTTTCAGAAACCCATGGGCACTACCCTGGGTTGGAAATGACTGGATGGTAGTTGAATTGAAAGAAATGATTAAGGCAGGGAAACCTGACCATTCCAATGACTGAGAAGGAAGACTGGAAGATTCAAGAACCACTTAACCAATTCAATAAATATCATTAGGTTGTATTTTAGGAGAAGTCATTCTATTAACTCAAAGCAACTACAGACAGTAGCACTATCTAGAAAATATATCTATGTATATAATAACTTAAATAAAACTTTGTCACTAATAAATCCAGTAGTGGTTCTTTTTTAAATATATAAATCCAGTTTATAAAAAAACTAGAAAATGGCATACTAAAATATACTATCTATATGTTTAAAGTTCTATATAAAACAGCTATCTCAGAGAAAAGAAAAAAAAATTATAAGCGGCTCACCCTTACTTGTCAGCTTAAATTACTGCTGAATGGGCTAGGACTCATTCTATCCCAGTATTCCCTCATAAAATTGGACTTAAACTACAGATTAATTAGAGCACTGAGGCAAGCACTCTACAAAGTGAGGATGGGGTATGGGGCTCCCTAGCAAACAGATATGTTCTTTTAAAAGTACAAAGACATTCTGAGGATTCTAGAGAAAACATGTATAAAGGATAAGAGTACATAAAGGCACAAACTCTGGAGTGAGAGAATACACCATGTCTGGGGAGACGTTAATGTCTTATTTATCTAATGCCTCTGTAACAGAAACACAAGTGATGGCTTTCATAAACAGAAAGGTGTTTTCTCATGCAGTACTGGTGTTGTGGTCTGACGCTGTTGAGTTGACTATGACTCTTAACAACCCTATGAACATTATCTTGTACCATCCTCATCCTCTCGGCCACAGCCGGGCCCACTGGCCCAGTCACTGCGTCCAGTCATCAACCAGAGGGTCTGCTCCTTCACTGACTCTCCACTTCTCCAAGCACGATGTCTCCAAGGACTGGGCCCTTCTAACAACATGCTCAAAGTATGGAAGACAAAGTCTCACCCTCCTTCCCTCTAAGGAGCACCCTGGCTGCATTCTCACCAAGACACATTTTTTTTTTTACAATCCATAGGATATTCAGTGCTCCCTCCAGAACCACAACTCAAAGGCATTGATTATTCTTCTGTTATCCATACTGACTGTCCAATTCTCAGATGTATAGCAAGTAAAAAAATCAGGCGTGGATCAGGCACACCTCAGTCTCTAAACAGATATCCTTGCTCTTCAGCATATTAGAAAAGGACCCTGACTGCAGACTTTCCCAGAGCAACTTGTCTTTTATTTCCTGATAGTTGGTGCCAAAGTTCTTGATTGTGGATCCAAGAAGAAATCACTGGCCATCCGTATCTTTTCTCCATCTACGTTGCCTACTACTGAGTCATTGATCTTTTGCAGGAAGCACTTCAAGTCCTCCTCACTTTCAACAAGAAAGGTTGTGTCATGTGCATAACCCAGACTGTTGATGAGTCTTCCTCTGGTCCAGACGTCACATTCTTCTTCATAAAATCCAGCTGAGAAGTGATTTGTTTGACACAGAGATGATAAAGGTAAGGAGAGAGGATATACCCCTGACATGCACCTTTTTAAATTTTAAACCATGCAGTGTTCCCCTGCTCTACTGTGACAATAGCCTCCTAGTCCAGGTAAAGGCTTCACATAAACACAATTAAGTATTCTGGGATTCCCATTCTTCTCAGTGTTAGCCACAATCTGTCAAAATCTACATGGAAAATGACTGTGCACAGCAGATAAAGCACAAACAGATGTCTTTCTGGTACTCCATGCTTTCAGCCAAGATCCTTCAACATCTGTCATGATATCCCTGATGTCACAGCCTCTTCTAAATCCAGCCTGAAACTCTGGCAGTGCTCTCTGTCAATGTGCTGTACTCTGTCAAGGAACTGTTTTTGCATAATCTTCAGGAAGATTCCGCTTGCATACTCTATTGTTTGGTAATTTTCACATTCAGTCAGGTCACCCTTTTAGGAACGGGAATAGTATCAATCTCTCCAGTTTGCTGGCAGCCATCTTCCAAATTTTTTGCCAGAACCTAGTGAGCACCTCCAGGGCTGCATCTGTTGAAACGAGTTGGTTGGAATCAATTCCCAGGGCCTTATTTTTTTCCAATGCCTTCAGTGCTTCTCTTACGGAGAAGGCAAGAATCTCAAATTCAGAATGCTGGCTCAAGACGTGAGCTCTTTTCC